CAAGTTACAGCAGTGTCAAGTTACAGCAGTGTCAAGTTACAGCAGTGTCAAGTTACAGCAGTGTCAAGTTACAGCAGTGTCAAGTTACAGTAGTCAGTTACACAGTGTCAGTTATACAAAAGCACCAACAGTCCGAAGGTACATCAGTGAAGCCTACGCGTGCAATTACACCAGTGATTAGTGTCTATCGTATTCTAACAGTTTAATTAAATAACCATTATTTTAAAGGGTGAAAGTTAAAGCCAGTGGAAGCGCCGTCAGTCAGATGACCAAAAGCTCCAAGGATGTTAGTGGCTTTCTTTGTATTTAACAATATTTTATAACACGTAAATCACACATTTTATATTATGCAAAGAAATAAAATCTAATAGCATTCGAAGACCCGTGTCAGGAAACACTTGTCCTGTTTCCCGACAAATCTTACCTAAGCTAACCTCGGAGACCTAAGTTAACCTTGGAGTCGAGGTACAATACACTGTTAACAACCTCATGTTGTGAACATTTTGTATTTGAAATATATTTGTACAATAAAACAGGAAACAGGTGGGGTTTGAACCCATGGCAAGTGAGTCATAGTTGTATAATATAATTGTCTGGATGAGCATGCAAACAAGCCAGGCCGGAGGTCAACCTACGGGAGTAACAAAAACATTCAAAATCTGTAAGGGTTTTCACGAGATAAATTTTGAGTACCTTATCTGATAAGCTTCAAACGGAACAAAAAGACGCAATACTGTATCTGGAACAACACACAAATAACCCGCACGTACGAGAATAAAATTACAATGCAGTTTCAGTCCAAAATGAGCATAAGTGTCTTTCTATGTGCTTCATCTCTTCAATGTTGATAACTTAAAAAGCAACTTGAAAATTAATGTACTGTTGTATTTTGGGATACTAGTTTCTCTGTAATATTAAGAGAATGTCTATGCAATTAAGTTTCCAAGCTGGTGTTTCTTATGGGGGTTAAATTAGTGTTGCACTGTGTATGTCCTAATTTGCCACTTTTAGTATGTACAGGGAATTGAGGTTAAGCAATACAAACTAGGATATCTTTCTCAGATCACCAAAGTACAAGGGATTGGGGTTATGCAATACTGCAATACTTTATTTTGGATTGCTAGAGTACAAGGGACTGGGATTATATATATTTTTTTTTTCATTGAAGTACAAAAGACTGGGGTTATGCAATACAGGAATACCTTCCTCAGATCACTGAAATATTGTGGGCTGGGGTTATGCAATACAGGTCCTCCATCACAAATCTGGCATCATTGGGACCTGTAGTGTGCCGGATTACTGAGTTTGCCGGATTACAGAGTGGTTAGGTTAGAATACACTTAATAAAATTAACTAACTTGACTTACACAAAGTTCATTGAACATCGGCAAAAATCGAAAATTTCCGCTAATTTGAGCTCAATTTCAAGGTACTTTTCATCATGAAAGCAATCAAAATCATGTCTATTTCTGTAATATATCTTCCATTCTATCAAATGAGTTAAAAAATGAGAATACAACCATAAAAACCATATGAAAATATACTGCAAAGAGGCGGCTAATGGCCGAGAAGTGAACTCCCTTATTTATCATCCGTCTTTTTTATTTTTGTTGTACGTTAAGAAGCATCTTTCCATCAAACATTGCCCAAGTTTCAATGAGATAGCCCAGCAAACAACCGAGAAAAAAAATATTAACCAAAAATCATATATGGCAAGTCCAAGCTTGTTTGTACATGTATGTGTAGTGTGACCTAAGTGTAAGTAGAAGTAGCAAGACATACCCAAAATCTTGCATGTTTATGAGACAGAAAAAAGACACCAGCAATCCTACCATCATGTAAAACAATTACAGGCTTCGGTTTTACACTCACTTGGCAGGACGATAGTACCTCCCTGGGTGGTTGCTGCCTACCAACCTACTACCTAGACAAGAATATATATGCAAGAAAAATAAATATTGAAATTAGCATTGTGTTACGAATGTGAAAATTACGAATGTGTCAAGGATTGTTGGGATGACAGATCATATATAAACAAATACAGATCATATATAAACGAATACATCACGTTACATTAAATCCGCCATACGAATCATTTGAACACAAAAATTTTGCCTCGCCTCTTGATAAGCTCGCATCATTCGGTAAATTTCACCTTATCCCAGTGTTTTTTGTGCTTGTAACTGCAAAGTAAGTCACCATGGGCCCCAAGAAAGCTTCTAGTGCCAACCCTGTGGTAAAAAGGGTGAGAATTAGTATGGAAATTAAGAAAGATTTTGAAGGGTTTAGGGTTAACCCTGAGAAGCCTATGCAAAGTCCTAATGGAAGGGGATTCCCCTTCTAAACATTAACACCATCCACACACTCCCCTCCTCCCATCCCATCACATTTATCACCAGATCTTCAATAAAGGTAAGTATCATGTAATTATACATGTCTTCTTCAGTTTGTGTGTATTAAAATTAATATTTCATGTGGTAAAAATTTTTTTTTCATACTTTGGGGTGTCAGGAACGGATTAATTTGATTTCCATTATTTCTTAGGGGGAAAATTAATTCGGCTAACGATAATTTCACCTAACGTTGAGCTCTCAGGAATGCATTAATATCGTTAGGCGAGGGTCCACTGTACTTATATTTGTGAGAAAAAGTAGATGGTGGTCATGGTGCCTCTGGTGGATTAAGTACACACTATGACAATACAAGGATCTCAATGGAAATAAGTCACTTTGACCTTTTCTGGGTTATCTGATGGGTAATTTACACATTTTTTACTATGTATGATAACTGTGGTCATCTTAATTAGTGTACCTGTACCTAAATGACCTTAAAAGTGGGTCATTAAGGCTCCACTAACCTTGACACCAGCAGTCACGGAGGTGGTGCTAAACCCACAAGGATTTAGTCCCTGGAAGAATGCCAGGATTGGGGGACTAAGGCTCTTGATCCAGTGCCTTGCATTAGAGCCATTTACCAAGCATCAAAGTACCTCCCGAGATGAGGAGGATGGGGGAAATAAATGGTTTAAAATACCCATAAGATAGCTAATGGAATTCCACTGTGGGAAAAGCATCATTAATAAAGGTTTTAAATGGTAGGATCTAGCAAGAACCTGTGGAAATGTGCACCTGTGTACACTTGCAAAGGCGTGCCTGTGTACACTTGCAAATGCACACCTGTGTGCCCTTGCAAAGCGCACATGTGTGCCATTGCAAATGCGCACCTGTGCGCCCTTGCAAAGGCATGCCTGTGTGCCCTTGCAAAGGCGCGCCTGCGTGCACTTGCAAAGGCGCGCCTGCGTGCTCTTGCAAAGGCGCGCCTGCGCACACTTGCAAAGGCGCGCCTGCGCACACTTGCAAAGGCGCGCCTGAGCACACTTGCAAAGGCGCGCCTGCGCACACTTGCAAAGGCGCACATGCGCACACTTGGAAAGGCGCACATGCGCACACTTGGAAAGGCGCACCATGCGCACACTTGGAAAGGCGCACCTGCGCACACTTGGAAGGGGCACCGCGCACACTTGCAAAGGCGCACCTGCGCACACTTGCAAAGGCGCACCTGCGCACACTTGCAAAGGCGCACCTGCGCACACTTGCAAAGGCACACCTGCGCACACGTGCAAAGGCACACCTGCGCACACGTGCAAAGGCACACCTGCGCACACGTGCAAAGGCACACCTGCGCACACGTGCAAAGGCACACCTGCGCACACGTTGCAAAGGCACACCTGCGCACACTTGCAAAGGCACACCTGCGCACACTTGCAAAGGCCACACCTGCGCACACTTGCAAAGGCACACCTGCGCACACTTGCAAAGGCCACTGCGCACACTTGCAAGGCCACCATGCGCACACTTGGAAAGGCACACCTGCGCACACTTGCAAAGGCACACCTGCGCACACTTGCAAAGGCACACCTGCGCACACTTGCAAAGGCACACCTGCGCACACTTGCAAAGGCACACCTGCGCACACTTGCAAAGGCACACCTGCGCACAACTTGCAAAGGCACACCTGCGCACACTTGCAAAGGCACACCTGCGCACACTTGCAAAGGCACACCTGCGCACACTTGCAAAGGCACACCTGCGCACACTTGAAAAGGCACACCTTGCGCACACTGCAAAGGCACACCTGCGACACTTGCAAAGGCACACCTGTACACATTGGAAAGGCACACCTGTGCACACTTGCAAAGGACACACCTGTGCACACTTGCAAAGCACACCGTGCACACTTGCAAAGGCACACCTGTGTACACTTGCAAAGGCACACCTGTGTACACTTGCAAAGGCACACCTGTGTACACTTGCAAAGGCACACCTGTGTACACTTGCAAAGGCACACCTGTGTACACTTGGAAAGGCACACCTGTGTACACTTGCAAAGGCACACCTGTGTACACTTGGAAAGGCACACCTGTGTACACTTAGAAGGCACACATGTGTACACCACTTGGAAAGGCACACCTGTGTACACTTGGAAAGGCACACATGTGCACACTTGGAAAGGCACACATGTGTACACCTGGAAAGGCACACCTGTGTACACTTGGAAAGGCACACCTGTGTACACTTGGAAAGGCACACCTGTGTACACTTGGAAAGGCACACATGTGTACACTTGGAAAGGCACACATGTGTACACTTGGAAAGGCACACCTGTGTACACTTGGAAAGGCGCACCTGTGTACACTTGGAAAGGCGCACCTGTGTACACTTGGAAAGGCGCACCTGTGTACACTTGGAAAGGCACACATGTGTACACTTGGAAAGGCACACATGTGTACACTTGGAAAGGCACACATGTGTACACTTGGAAAGGCACACATGTGTACACTTGGAAAGGCACACATGTGTACACTTGGAAAGGCACACATGTGTACACTTGGAAAGGCACACATGTGTACACTTGGAAAGGCACACCTGTGTACACTTGTGGCTTTATTAGTAATAAAGTCACTTATACATCACTATGTATAATAACTTTAGTTACGTTTAGCAGAATAAACTTACTTACCTCAACTCTAAGGTGGTAGTTGTCGTGGCGTTTCTATAGGAGTTTCGACCTTACCGACGTCAGTAACACAGAGGTGTAGAGACACGTCCTCCCACCTTGACGTTCCTGGAGCTACTGACTGCAGCTCGCCAGTCTTGTTACTCTTGTTTCAATCTGTTGAATGGTTGTTAATGTCTTGTTAACCATGGTTAATTATGATTGCTGAGTATATATGTATGTATATATGAATATGTATGTATATATGTATGCATATATATGTATGCATATATATATGTCGTGCCGAATAGGCAGAACTTGCGATCTTGGCTTAAATAGCAACGTTCATCTTGCCATATAGGACAAGCGAAAATTTGTGTATGTAATAATTTCGCCAAAATCATTCTGAACCTAACGAAAAAAATATATTTCAGTGTGTTTGTTTAGTATTAAATTATTGTAAACAAATCTAAAATATATTTAGTTGGGTTAGGCTAAAATAAATTGTTCTTGTTATAATAAGGTTAGGTAAGTTTTCTAAGATTCTTATGATGCAAAATTATAATTTTTTACATTAACATTAATGAAAAAAATATATCTTTAAACGTATAAGAGAAATTTTTAGAAGGGACTTAATTTTAAATGAGTTCTTGCTAATTGACCAGTTTTACATATTCGGCACGACATATATATATATATATATATAATATATATATATATATATATATATATATATATATATATATATATATATATATATATATATATATATATATATATACATGTATATATATATATAATTTATTTTTTTTATTAACACAGCCGTCTCCCACCAAGGCAGGGTGACCCGAAAAAGAAAAACTTTCACCATCATTCACTCCATCACTGTCTTGTCAGAGTGATGCTTTACACTACAGTTATAAAACTGGCACATTAACACCCGTCCTTCAGAGTGCAGACACTGTACTTCCCATCTCCAGGACTCAGGTCAGGTCTGCCAGTGTCCCTGAATCCCTTCATAAATGTTACCTTGCTTACACTCCAACAGCACGTCAAATCCTAAAAAACATTTGTCTCCATTCGCTCCTATCTAACACACTCATGCATGCTTGCTGGAAGTCCAAGCCCCTCACACACAAAACCTCCTTTATCCCCTCCCTCCAACCTTTCATAGGCTGACCCCTACCCCGTCTTCCCTCCACTACAGATTTATACACTCTCGTAGTCATTCTATTTTGTTCCATTCTCTCTACATGTCTGAACCACCTCAACAACCCCTCCTCAGCCCTCTAGATAGCAGTTTTCATAATCCCACACTTCCTCCTAATTTCCAAACTATGAATTCTCAGCATTATATTCACACCACACATTGCCCTCAGACATCACATCTCCACTGCCTCCAGCCTTCTCCTTGTTTCAACATTCACCACCCATATTTCACACCCTTATAAGAGTGTTCGTACAACTATACTCTCATACATTCATCTCTTTGCTTCCATGGACAAAGTTCTTTGTCTCCACAGACTCCTAAGTGCACCACTCACCTTTTTCCCCTCATCAATTCTATGATTCACCTCATCTTTCATAGACCCATCCGCTGACATGTCCACTCCTAAATATCTGAATACATTCACCTCCTCCATACTCTCTCCCTCCAATCTGATATCCAATCTTTTTGTCATCTAATTTTTTTTGTTATCATCACCTTACTCTTTCCTGTATTCACTTTTAATTTTCTTCTTTTACAAAGCCTACCAAATTCATTCACCATTATTACTAATAAAGCAACTCCTCTTCAAAATCTCCCAAAAGCACCGTGTCATCAGCAAAAAGCAACTGCAACAATTAACACTTTGTGTTAGATTCTTTATCTTTAAACCCCACACCTTTTGCCAACACCTGAGCATTTACTTCTCTTACAACCCCATCTATAAATATATTGAACAACCATGGTGATATCACACATCCTTGTCTAAGGCCTACTTTTACTGGGAAATAATCTCCATCTCTCCTATGTACTCTAACATGAGCCTCACTATCCTCATAAAAACTCTTCACTGCTTTCAGTAACCTACCTCCTATTCCATACACCTGCAACATCTGCCACATTGCCCCCCTATCCACCCTGTCATATGCCTTTTCCAAATCCATAAATGCCACAAAAACCTCTTTACCCTTACTAAATACTATTCACCTACATGTTTCACTGCAAACACTTGGTCCACACACCCTCCACCTTTCCTAAAGCCTCCTTGTTCATCTGCTATCCTGCTCTCTCTCTTACTCTTAATTCTTTCAACAATAACTCTACCATACACTTTGCCAGGTATACTCAACAGACTTATTCCCCTATAATTTTTGCACTCTCTTTTGTCCCCTTTGCCTTTATACAAAGGAACTATGCATGCTCTCAGCCAATCCCTAGGTACCTTACCCTCTTCCATACATTTATTAAATAATAGCACCAACCACTCCAAAACTATATCACTACCTGCTTTAAACATTTCTATCTTTATCCCATCAATCCCAGCTGCCTTACCCCCTTTCATTCTACTCACTGTCTCATGAACTTCCTCCACACTCACAACTGGCTCTTCCTCACTCCTACAAGATGTTATTCCTCCTTGACCTATGCACGAAATCACAGCTTCCCTATCTTCATCAACATTTAACAATTCCTCAAAATATTCCCTCCATCTTCCCGATACCTCTAGCTCTCCATTTAATAACTCTCCTCTCCTACTTTTAACTATCAAATTCCTTCGTTCTCTAGGTTTCCTCAACTTATTAATCTCACTCCAAAACTTTTTCTTATTTTCAACAAAATTTATTGATAACATCTAACCCACTCTCTCATTTGCTCTTTTTACATTACTTCATCACTTCTATACTGCAGAAACCTCTCATATGCTAACTTTTTCCTCCCATTCTACATCATCATTCCACCATTCACTCTTCTTCACTCCCGCACCCACTTTCTTGTAACCACAAACTTCTGCTGAACACTAACACTACATCTTCGACCCCATTGTCTATACTCTCACTAGCCCATCTATCCTCCAATAGTTGTTTACATCTTAACCTAACTACCTCCTCCTTTAGTTTATAAACCTTCATTTTCTCTCACTTGCTGCTTCTATTCTCCTTGTATCCCATCTACCTTTTACTCTCACTGTAGCTACAACTAAAAAGTGATCTGATATATCTGTGGCCCCTCTATAAACATGTACATCCTGAAGTCTACCCAACAGGTTTTTTCTACCAATACATAGTCCAACAAACTACTGTCATTATGCCCTACATCATATCTTGTATACTTGTTTATCCTCTTTTTCTTAAGTTAAAATATGTGGTAACTTTAACCAAACCCCTTTCTATACAAAGTTCAATCAAATGCTCTCCATTATCATTTACACCTGGCACCCCAAACTTACCTAACACAACCTCTCTAAATGTTTCTCCTACTTCAGCATTTAGGTCCCCTAAATAAATAACAAAAACTCACGATACCGTGACTGGAACGATACCACAATTGCTCTCTCTCATTATTATAATTATGGGGGAGCACTAAACCCGTAGAATTATACAGCGCATGTGGGGGAATGGGAGGTATTCAGGCTTAATTCAGGAAACTGGATCACAGACCCAATTCCCTAGATCAAGAGCCCCTCACCAGCATCAAGGAACCTCACTTGAGGGACTCAGTAGTTACAGGATTGGTACCAGTAGTTAAAGGATTGGTACTAGTTACAGGATTAGTACCACTAGTTACAGAATTAGTACCAGTAGTTATAGGATTGGTACCAGTAGTTACACAATTTGTACTAGTTACAGGATTGGTAATAGTTACAGTATTGGTACCAGTCACAAGATTGGTACTAGTAGTGACAGGGTTGGTACTAGAAGTTACTAGTTACAGGACTGGTAATAGTTACAGGATTGGTACTAGTTACAGGATTGGTACTAGTAGTTAAAGGATTAGTACTTGTTACAGGATTGGTACTAGTTACTGGATTGGTACCAATAGTTATAGGATTGGTAGCAGTACTCACAGGATTGGTGTCACTACTTGCAGGATTGGAACCAGATGGCTGACAGTCAGCAGATGGTTACCAGTCAGCAGATGGTTGCCAGCCAGCAGACAGTCGACAGTGAGCAGATGGTTGCCAGTCAGAGGATGGTTGACAATCAGAAACAAGAGATGGTGGATCTAACCTGGCCCAGGGGTGTACCACTGTCATGCAGTACAGTGGACCCCCGACATTCGATATTAATCCATTCCTGAGAGCTCATCGAATGTCAAAAGTATCGAAAGTCGAATTAATTTTCCCCATAAGAAATAATGGAAATCAAATTAATCCGTGCAAGACACCCAAAAGTATGAAAAAAAAAAATTTTACCACATGAAATATGAAGTTTAATGCAATAGAATAATTACAATAACAACAATAACAATAGATTAATAACAATAGAATAATTGACACTTACCCTTAATGAAGATCTGGTGATGATTGATGGGATGGGAGGAGGGGAGATGTGTGGATGGTGTTAGTGTTTAGAAGGGGAATTCCCTTCCATTAGGACTTGAACTGGCAGCCTCACCATGCCTTACCACACTGTGTATGCCACTACGATTCTTAAATCTTTCAAACCAACCTTTGTTGGCCTTAAATTCACTCACATCACTAGTTGCAGGCAATTTCTTTACCAAATCATCATGCACTCTGACACACGCACTCCACTTTCGTACTTTGCAATTATCTCTTTCTTCATTTCAATAGTCATTAGCACCTTTTTTCTTGAAGGGTTGGCACTAGAAGCTTTCTTGGGGCCCATGGTTACTTATTTTGCAGAAACAAGCACCAAAAACAGTGATAATATGGAATGTACCAAATGTATCTTTAGATGCGCGCACACTGGCTGGCTTGTAAACACTGGCACACACGGGGCAGTTCAGGCCACACGTGGACACGTCTTGTACGAACCATATCGAATGTCGGGTTTTCCATCGAATGTCGAGGCGAAATTTTTGCATTAAAATGCATCGAATGTCGGATTTATCGAATGTCGATGCCATCGAATGTTGGGGGTCCACTGTATTATATACCAAGGGAGGATATCTTCACTTGTTCCACTGGATGCTTATGGATGCTGTGTTGGTTCCGTTTGTCAGCTTA